TTTTGACTTGGGTGGGTAAGAGTCTAGAGTAAGTGACAACTAAACAGCCGATGCACCCTATGGATCCACATACTGAACCAGGTCGGTACGATGAGCGGGGAGACTATTTATGTAGGCGCCAGGAGTGTCCGGTCGTACCGAACCTGAGAAGGTATGTGGATCCCTAAGGGCAAATTTGTGACATCCCAACTGTGCTCTATCTATAGAGTTGACTCACAGCCATAGCACTTGCTCAACAGTCGCCAGCCGCAAGAAGGGTTGGTAGACAATGGTGCCCCAAAGTATCGAGTTCGGCAGAATTTTCTTGAAACTGGTGTTCTTTTTTCCTCATGCAGCCTGAGTGCAATTCATATCCCTCACTCATCAAGGGTGCCTCCTTTTGCCGCTTGAACAGCGAGTGGTTGAAATGTGTGCGCATAGAATAGGATAGCATGAAAAGGCCAATGAAAAGGTATCAAGTCGCTGGTGCAGTGTCCATGCATTGTGCAGTGTCCGTGGCTGCTTTGACAAAGACATGAGGAGAGGCTGTGCACTTTGACGCACGCGTCACTGGATCCACTTGATGGGATGGCCCAAAACCTGTCGAAGATCATCGATCGGACTGTCGGTGTGTCCGGTTTTCACAAAATATTGTGTTCACTCCGACTTACTCAAATGGAAGTGGATTTGGAATTGGCATGGTTCCTTGGAATGACCATTGTTTTCTTTAACAGGTCCTTTTCCACGTATGTGACTCGGAGGGTTTACCGCCCGAGCGAACAGACGCTCGCGTAGGCCATGTGGAGGACTCTCTTTCGTGGTCTACTGGCACTTTCCTGTGGAGGACTCCCGAGAGAACGTACCTCGGCCCGTCACCAATGCGTAAAGAGCATCTTTCTCCACCCGGACAAGAAGCAGTCGACACAGCCTCCGGATGGTCTATGTTACAGATCTTCAACAATGCAACATGTTTGCCTTATTTGGGCTGGTTTTTATAGATGAAAGGGCAGACATGTTGCACAGTTGGAAGATCTAAGTAGCATGTTCACAACATCTTGTTTTGCGTCATTTTTGAATGAATGACTCCACTCAGCCTTTGGCTCTAAAAGCTGCTGCTTTAGCTGCCAGATTCGACATGAAGCTGCTGTGGTTCTTGGCTGTTTCCACACTGCAGTTTGTCGGTGAAGTCTACCGAGTCTATCCCAGTTTCTTGCGGTTCATCGGCCAAAAGCTCCAGTCCAAGAGAGCTTCTTTCGCATCGGGCTCCGTGCAACAAGCTGGTCAATGCAGCAACTTCGGGATCAGCTTCAGAAAGAAGCACACCCAGTCAGAGATCAGCTTGAGCCAGCTGCCGGCTGGATGGAGTCAAGCGCCTTTTGTGGTTCCAGATGCTAAGCTGATCTTTTGTCCTCAGTTCAAAGTGGGCACCACCGAGTTCATGCGTCTCCTTCGGTGGCTAGATGGTCAGGACTACAATGTGCATCCCCACTTTCAAGTCGAAGGCCGCCCGGGGAATTTGACCACCTTGGCAGACTTTGAGATGAAGGCTGCTTTGGAGATGATGCTTGACTCAGCTTGGATCAAGTTGGTCGTTGTCCGTGATCCGTTGCATCGCTTGCGGTCAGCTTATTTGGATAAGATAAAGATAGTAGCAGCGAACGGTAGCAAGCACATCCAAGAAAAGTATGCGGACGCACTGAATGTACGAATTCCGACCCTGAGCAACTTGAGTTTTGCTACCTTCGTGAGAAGAGTCGAAGCTCAAATGAAAAAAATGTGAGTAATATCCACTGGAGAATGCAAGCACAACAATGCGGCTTAGAGTATTTCAAGAAATACTACTATGTGATGTACATGGGCATCGACAAGACTACCCACCCTGCTCTGCGTGATTGTGTACTTCGGACAATGACAAGCAGAATGAATAAATCAAAGCT